AAAAAAAAAAAGAGAGAGAGAGAGAGAAAATATATGACAAAAAGGTTACGGAAAAAATGATGAATAGATGTGTATGAAAGGAATGTGCGTATATTTTTGCTAAAGTGGTTTTATTTTCTTTTTTTTTTTTTTTTTAATAAGAAAAAACCGATTTACTTCATTGATTTTATTCAATTTGTTTTTTCTCTCTCTCTCTGTCTCTTTTTTCTTATTTCTTATTTTTATAATAGGCGTAACGTTATAACGTGATTAATATTAATATATTACTCGTTGTACGAAGATTTTGTCAATAATTTACAATTATATTATTACGCGAAATAAAAATACAAAAGATACAAATAATTATTGCGAAAGATAAAGAAATTGTTAATAAGCGACTTAAAACGATTTGTGTGTAACGTTCGATTAAAGTAAATTTAATTTTCAAATGCTTGAACATTTCATTGTACATTACAGGAATATTCGTTTTGTATGTTAATAGTAATCGCAATATCCTTTGACCCATTGTAAAAATTCGTCCTGTAGGAAAAATACGCGTTTTATATGAGAATTGTTATTATATATTTTCTATTAAAGATCAATATAATATTGCGAAAGATTATATTTACGTATTTTATTTCTTATATGAACTAACACACATACATATATATATATATAATAAAAAATATTATTATAAAAATATAGAATGAAAATCAAAAAGATATCGTACGATATAAAATATTATTAAAAAAAAAAGAAAAACAATACGATGAGATTATTTCAATTAAATCATTCCTATAATTAACGAAAATAATTTTCAATATATAATCCAAAATAAATTATGTCAATGTGTCTCCAATATAAGATCTACCAAAATCTTGTATAAAAATTATTAAACATAATATTATTTTATGTGTATTATTTTACCAACCGATATAATGTCCAATAATTTCTACAAAATATTATTCTTTCGATAAAGTGTAAAAACAGATAAAGAGGGGTGGTGGGGGGTGTATAAAGTATGAATTAACGTTTTTAATTAATCTTCCTTTGCAAAAATAGAACCGCGGCTTGCAATATCGATTCCGCGGTTCGTTTGACCTCAAACATCGTATCCCCGTATTTTCAACCATTCCATGACGAAAATGGAAAAAATCATTTGCATAACCGGATGATGATACTCGAAAGACGAGCATTAGTTGAGAAAAAAATAGAAAAGTGTCACGTTTATCGGGTTTCTTTCTTCCTTTCTTCCTTTCTTCTTTTATTTCTGTGAACTTCCCTTGTTTTCTACCCCCATTTAACGCACGCTCAACAATTTGAACTTTATAATTATATTTCTGATCGTGAAAAATGAAACGTACAAAGGGAAAACGTTTAGTCGCGACAAAGATTATTTAATTTGATCGTTTCCATCCCCCTCCGCCGCTCCTCGTCGTCGTATTTCCTATTTCACTCTTTTATCTTCTTTTTTTTTTTGTTTTTTTATTCCTAGCTCGCATTAATTATCCTTATAACGTCCTTGTTTAGTGAGATATTACAAAAGGAGAAGAAAAAAATAAGTAAATAAATACAATATAATTCTGTTAATACAATAAAATTAATTGAGAAACGTGACTATTGGAAGAAACGAATTATTATTATTTTCGATTAATTTTTATCAGTTTTATTTTTGTTAGGGTTACAGAACTGTTCTTTCTTTTTTTTTTATATTAACATTTTCTTCGTTCAAGTATGTTAAAATAAAAAGAATTTGTACGAATTTCTTTTGGGGGTGGAAATGAATTAAACGTTATTATTACCAACACATGTAATATATACACACGCGTATAATTTATAATATTAAACGCGTTGAGTTAAAACAAGAAAAAAAAAAAAAGGAACAGAAAAGAAGAAGAAGAAGAAAGAAGTAGGAAGTTGAACTCGTTTCACGGTATTTTTAATATATTCGAATAACACGCTCGGCCGGCTCGAAAAATAAAATGCTTTTTGCAAAAGCTTTGAATGTTTCAAGCATGGAATTGTATAATACATAAGATAATTAATCAAAATCAGAAGGTCTTAACGCGTTATGCGAATTTATTAACAAAATTTCTTGACCTTCCTTGTTACTTCCACTGTCAAATGTTTTATATTTATATTCACTTTTCTATTTTTCGTTTCGTTTCGTTTTGGTGTTTTTCGTTTATAGCTATTTTTCTATTTTATCGTTAAAAATGTCCTTGGTTAAGAAAAATCTATTTTCTACGTTGGTCGGAAGTAGTCTATCGATTACACGAAAGTCGAACTTCTCCCTTGGGTTCTCGACTAACTATTGACGAATCAAAAGAGAGAAAGAGAGAGAGAGAGAAGAAAAAAAAATGGGAATAGAAAGAAAATCGAACTTTGCGTATTCTCTTGAGAAATACAAAATTCACTTGTTTTTTATTTTCTTCAAAAAACGAAAAAGAAAATAAAGTCGATGAAGTAAAAAATTCGAAAAATTTCTTTCGACGTACGAGAAATACGCTCCAGATTAAATAATCGATAATTAAATAATAAACGATCTATAAGTTTGCGATAAATATGATATTGGAAAAAGTGTCTCCAGTTTTAAAATGAGAAAATTGAAAATAATAATTTAATCATCGATTAAAAATAAAGATAAATTCGATAATCTACGTTAACGGAGATAATATAAAACATCTTCTTATTCTTGAGAAATAAAATTTGAGATTGATTTCATTAACGGAATAGAAAAAAAAAACTTTTTCTCAATTGTTATTAATTAATGGGTAAAAGTTTCGTAATAGAAAGTAAAATCTGTAAAACAGTGATTCGATCACTACACTATTACTGTTCGTATTCAATTCGGAAATACCTATTAAGGGGAATGGAAATGGAGGATAGTCGAGTCTACCGTTAGCGCAGAAAATGGACGTGAAAATAGAATTCGCGGTAAACGGCCGTCCCAAAATTCCACTCTAAAATATATTCTCAAATATTTTGATACCAATAAATAAATATGATACGAACGAATGGACCGAGGAAATATTTTACAATAAATTCTTTTTACTTTTACAATTTTTTATATATATTATATATATCAATCCTTCGAATCGAATTACACGCACAATTTCAACGACTACTCCTCGTGTCCAAATTTTTTGGCATCTTTCCAGTCTTGTATCCTCATTTTTGATTCTTTTCAACTATTTCAAACTTTATCTCGACGACGAATAATATTTTTATTGTTTTATTACGATCTTACGAATCGTTAAATATTATCTAAGAAATGGAGACTATACACGGTACTAGATCTGTCTTAAATTCTAACGAGAAAAATTCTAAATAAAATTTATATTTCTTTCAAAGTTTATATTCTATCGTATTGATAAGAAAAATATAAAAAAAGTTTCGTTAAACTCTTCGAGAATTATTAAATATATTCTTCTTAACAAATCCAATACGAATAAATTTCAAATTAAAAATCGAAACATTGATAAATTATTTTCAAAAATTTCTAAGAAAAAAAAAGAAACCCTGATGTTCCTATTTTCTTATTTCTATAAAATCTGAAGAGATTATAATTTTGGTATAATAATTAAAAAGAAATAAGAGAAGATATATATCGTTGATAAGATGATAAAAATCTATGAGAACAATACTCTCTTGAAAATTCGTCTAATTTCGATTAATGGGCCGACAACGAAGGAGATGCATTCGTTCGGTTGGTTTGACTCTTTCACGACACAAGATGAGAAGGATGAGAAGGTTTATTCATCATTGACCTTCGACCCTCGATTGATACCTCTCTCTCTCTCTTTCTCTTTCTCTTTCTCTTGGAAACTAGAAATGCATCAAACAGAACCTCGCGAATTTTCATCGTACTCGCATCACCGAGTCACAATTCAACGATACTCATTCGTCATTTCGAAGTAGTACTCGCGAATGAGATGCGTTTAAAATGACACTTTAGTTTCGCGTCAATGATTGCACGACCAATCAACTTTTTACCATTTACATCATCTTTTCCTTTTTTATTTTTTTTTCCTTTTTTTGAGAAGTATATGTGTGTCATGTATGTTGCAGTGAACTGCAAAAAGGATTATCCCCCGTTATGACACACCATATCGATTCCCATTAAGTGTTATAATTAATATAGGATCGTGTCTTAAAATAACACACGTCTGCCGTTTCGGGTCCGATGGGATTAAAAAATAAAATTCACGTGGTTAAATATATTGAACCTTCGATCTTCCTTCCCCTTTTCCTTTAACATTAATCCCCGTTTCATCTTTTCACGTATTTTATTTTCTATTAACGTTAACCCCTCCCATTTGTATAATAATGAAAAATGCAGAAATTTTGAAAACGAAAAGCAAATATCTTAAATAATATTATAATTTGTATTATAATAATATCGAACATCGCATCTAATGCATTTGAAAAATTGTAACATATATATATATATATTGTTATCATGAAAGACCGAAAAATTGAATAATGTCAAAATTCCCATGGTTGCTTGTCAACGCATATAACAAATACTTTAACGAAAGACCGAATATTTGAATTTATTCTAATACATTAATATTTTTGACATACACACCAAACAACCATATGAAATTTTCTTTCACGTTAACACATACATATACGTATAATATAACAAATAATTGATCCCTAAATAAACATTTATTAGGTTGAACCAAAAATTAAAGAAACACGTTGTCGTTGGAAAACGAGAATACTAGTTTTGCGAAAAGTGCATGATTTCTATCAAAATTCTTAAAATTATATATTAACCAAAATATGTTATCACAATTTTAACAATACATATATGTTGACAATATTTTCGTGTATCCCTAAAATAATTCAATTTTAATATGACAAATTTTCAATATTAATAAATATCAATGTATTAATATTTTCAAATAAGTAAATTTAGTAGAATGAATACACGAACATTTGGTTCACCCTAACAAATAACAAATAATAATAATAATAATAATAATAATAACAATAAAAATGTATCGACTCACGTTGACTGCTGCTACGTCTGATGATGTTCTCGAGGAACGTATTTTGGGGGGCTACCAGGCCCCTACGGCCCCCTGGCATCCTTCTATCTTCGTTTAACGATCCTTGACCGTGGTCGTAGCGAGATGACTATCAGGAGGAACTCGGCTGTGCGATAACGAGGAGGACGAAGAGGAGGAGGAGGAGGACCAAAAGGATGACAACGACGACAACGACGACGACGACGAGGACGAGGAGGAACTCGAGCTGGTACCTTGAGCACCGCATTGCAGCAGCCCTTTTTTCTTCCCTTCCTTCCTTCCTTCCTTCTTCTCTTCCTTCCTTTTTTTGTTTGTCCCTCCCTCTCTCTCTCTCTCTCTCTCTCTCTCCCTTCCTCACTCTCTCTCTCTCACACCCTCCCTTTTTCACCCTTTCACCCTTTTCACCCTTTCCCTTCTTTGTTCACACACGTCACCACTACTACTGGCACACTCGCGATATCCCAAAACGAGAATCCATCGTCGTCGTCATCACCATCATCATCATCATCATCATCATCATCATCATCATCATCGTCATCATCATCGTCATAATCATCATCGTCATTGACGACAACATCATCATCTTCATCTTCATCATAATCATCATTATCATCAAGGTCATCGTCATCGCCGTTGGCCGAATCATCGAGATATATACTCCGAAATCGTGATATATACACGCAGGTTGTGGAATATGGTAAAGGATTGGATAAGAAGAATAAGAAGAATAAGAAGAATAAGAAGAAGAAGAAGAAGATGGATAAGGTGGAAGATAAGGATAAGTAGGATAAATAGGATAAGGGATAGGACCAGGACGAGGAATAAAAAGAAAAATAATAAAAGGAGAACGTGACGCTTCTTTCGTCACCTGAAGATTGTCTCCCTCCCACGCGACATCGCAGTGTTGCCAGATAAGAAAAACGAAGGTTTACTTGCTGGTAATAGTAATACCTTATTTCTTTTTAACGACGGAATAGTAATAGAAAGATTTAAGATAGAACAAGAAGAAGAAGAAGAAAAGAATAGAAGGGAAAGATAGATCGATAGAAGGACGATGACCTTTGGCCCAGTTTTATGGCCCAAGATGACTAAGAAAGTAGTCTCATCGATGACGAGGACAAAGATCGATCGGATAACCAAGGAATAGTTTGAGGAATAAAGAAATAGATAGAAGATATTAATAATGATGTAGTAGTAGTAGTAATAGTAGTAGTAGTAGTCGCAATAATACTTGTTGTTCCAGTTGCTGCAGTTGTTGCAGTTGTTGTTGTTATTTTTATAGTAATAGTATAAATAGGTGAGCCAAGAATCGAGTTCTCTTTTAGGATACGATCGTAAATTCCCCTTGGTCTGATCTTGCTGCTGGTGCTGCTGCTGGTGCTGCTGTTGATGGATACGTGCCAAACAAGAACACTGACCCATCTAACCGCAGTCCTTCCACGCGATTGGCCGAGCTATTACTAAGGCTGGCCGTGGAATTTGATGACGTAATAATAGTAGATGACGATGAATAGGAGGAGGGTGACGATGATGACGATGACAACGATGACAATACTTCTGTTTTTGTTTCTTTTGTTGTTGGTGCTGGTGTTGATATTGTTGTTGTTGTTGTTGTTGTTGCTGTTGCTGCTGGTATTGATGAAACTGACGATGATAATAATAAAAAGAACAACGACGACGACGGCGGCGTTGATTTTCTTCTTCTTCTTCTTGTTTTGATCTTAAACGACGATGCCGATGATGACAATGACGTGGCCGAATAAGATGACGACGACGACGAAGACGGAAAACGGGCAAACAACGAAGCAGGCCTCGTTTCAACGACCTCGTTCTCCACATCCTCGGAGTCCTCCTCGGCGTCCGTGCAACTCGTGCCCGCTGAGGAGGACATCCCTTGCCAGTGAAGAACCTGGCTGGAGAAGCCCTTTTTTTTTCTTGTTTTTTTTTTTTCTCTTTTACCTTAAACGTACGATCACATCGTAACGATTTAACTTTTACTACTCTTTCCTGCTGCTGTTACTGCTGTTACTGCTGCTGGTACTATTATTATTCGATAATTGACACACTATATTTCTTTCTTATCTTTTTTTTTTTTATTCTTCTTCTTCTTCTTCTTTTTCTTCGTCTTCTTTGGCTTCTTGTACTTTACTCTTATCGTTTTAGTTATTTTATCCTTGTCCGGCCTATTTTCAAAGGACTGTTCTTCTTCTTTTTCGATCCTCCCAGATTTCAGAAATCTTCAACACAACCTCGCAAACTCGATCCCCGATATCCCGTTTTCTTTTCTTCTTTTCTTTTTTCTCTCTCCTTTCTTCTTCCTGTAAAATAATATTACAATGTTTATTTATTTCTCGTTTTCATTTCCCAATGTTCACGACATGACAGATCTATGTATTATAATAATGTGACATGTATATATAAGAAGTATAATAAATTATGTTATTATAGGTAACTTTTCGTAAACTTGTAAATAGAAATGAAAAGCTCGTGAAAGTTTTTCCCCCATTACTTATTTTTTCTCCCAAAAACTTTTCGACTCAATGTTATTACGTACACTCGTATCTCGCGAATATCGTTAGGATAGAATATTTTTCTTCTCGACGAAAGAAAAAAGAAAAAAGGAAAAAAGAAAAGAAAATGGGAGAAAAATTATTACGAAAAATTGAACTCGAATTCTCGATTTGGAACGATACCGTAAAGAATAATCGTTCTAATAACGTAAGAAGGTCGTGTGCCAAAGTAAATAAGTAGTTCATCCCTTTTTCGATCGATGCTTTCAAGTTTTTCCCTCGCTAAAAGGTTCACTTTCGAGTAGACCCAACCCGTTGCTAATAATGTCACTCTGCGTATCACGTATTCTGCAATCGCAGAAAAAAAAGAAAGAAAAAAAATAAACAATTTTCAATAAATATATATATATTATTTATTTATTTTCGAAAGTGTGTGGCCTTAATCCATTTATTTAACAAAACAAAAAAATCGAGATATTTAACAATTAAATAATAATTCTATATATATAAAAAAAAAATAAAGGGGATCCTTCATTGTATTAACAACAAATATTTTCATCAGTCCCAATTAAATCGTTCAATTTTTGTCCTTAAAACATTTGACGTGTATTTTAAAAAAATAACAAATGATATTTAAGATATTCAACATTAATTGATTGATTGATCACCCTGTATATTTCATATTTATGATACATCGATGAAAATATTAATATTATTATTATATTCAAATATTATTTAAATAAATCAAACAAATATTATATGTTACAATATTTAGATTATATTTATCCTGAATAGTAATTTCCACATTCGTGAAAATAAGCAAGAATCATTTTAAAAAAAAGTATGTAGATATAGGTATTGGAGCCATAAGATGGCCTTGAACAATACTAGCAGACTTTCCGAACGTTTACGTAGCCCCAGTAGTCGATCTATTTGAAATTCAAAGCCGATGAAATGTCACATGTACGTAAGTAAAACTCTAAACCTCACGTTTGGTCTTCGCTGTTATGCTTACACAAAATCCTGTTTTGTTTTGTTTTTCTTTCTTTCTTTCCCCCTTCTACCCCCTCTTTCTATATATTCTATATATTATATATAGATATATATATTATGTCTTCTCTATACTCTTTGTTTTATTTTTTCTTAAAACTTTCCTATTGGATTCAGTCAGATAAGTATTATACTTACGTACATTTTTTAACGAGATTTACTTTCAGTTACATTTTGACTTATACTTACTTTTCCACGAGTCCATATGTATTATATTTATTTATTTATTTATTTATTTATTGTAGTGTTTTATTTTCTTTTCACTTTATTTTTATTTTTAGGTTTGAACAAAAAATAAAGGGAGAATTGTCTCTTTGAAAAGCCAAGTAGAGTTGCTGACGAAACTATCGAAAACACTCGTAAGAGTATCAAATATCCTTCGTTTATAAATAAAAAAAAAAGGAAAAAAAAGGAAAAAAAAGAAGAGAAAAAAACGGCGGCACACACTCGAATCAAGGAGGATTCTTTAAAACCGTTTGAAAGGTATCCCTCAGGTTTGAGCTTTTAACAAGCTTTTCTAAACTCAAGGAAATCTCGAGGGAAGACTTATTATTTCGACGCTTTTATCGTTCATCCCTCTCGTTGACCGATCCTAAGCGATACGATTATTCATTTTTTTCATTCATTTTTATCCCTAATCATATTATATATATATATATATACATAAATATATTTATTAAATTAATAAACGTATCGATAAAATATAATTTACAAAAAAAATAAATAAAAATAAACTACAAAAACGACAATGACGATGACAATAATAATAATAATAATAATAATGACACACGGTGTTTGAATATAAAAAAAAAAAAAAAGAAAAGAAAATGAATAAAATTCAATTAAAGGTATAGAAAAAAATCGAATTGATATTGAAAAATATTGTTACTTGACTTTTTCGCGTCGAAGGGAAGGGTGGAGGGGAGAGGGGGTGGAAAAAAAAACACGATAAATGCACAACGTGATACGTGGAAACCTTTTAAAAGTTCCGAGAACTTATAATACGTATATCCAATTTAAGAAAGTGTAAGTATATATATACGTGTATAGGTAACTCTTATGTATACGTGAGGAGTCTACGGATATTCTCTATTTAAATTAAGTTTCTAATTAAAAGCCAATGCTCGACAACCGTAAGCAATTTCAATGAAACAACATTTTACTTGATAAAGTTTCACGATTACTATTATTATTCTCTCGTTTTTTTTTTTGATTCCAAGAGAACAACATTTTCCATATTATATTGAAAATTGTCAATTCAAATTTTGAATGATAGAAAACGAATCGAAGAATTAACAAAAGGAATAAAGAAAACATAAAAAAAAAACAATAATTAACATAATATTATACATTTAATTCTCTCTTGACGAAAATTTTAATATAATAATATTCATAATTTATGTGATATGTGTCAAATGGAAAACAAAATTTCATTATAATAGAAAATATCTATCCAATCTAACATTATCTTTTTCAAATATACAAATAATTTGTTAATTATATCGATTTTATAAAGAGAAAAAAAAAAAAAAGAAAATAATCATCGGATTGATCGAATATACAAAATTTATTCGAAGGCGGGGAAGAAAAAGGAAAATACGAAATAAGAAATAAAGAAATAAGAAGATAAAAAAAAAAAAGGATCAAATATTAGTTCGCGAGAGAGACAGACAGAGAGAAAGAGAGAGAGAGAGAAGAATAGCCAGCAGTAGAAATTGGTCGGAAACGATTTTAGGGAGGATTTTCTTCTACACTTCGAGTTTTAAAAGAAAGAAATTGGGAGAGAAAAAAGAGGAGGAGGAGGAGTAAGAGGAGGGGGTTGGTAAGAGGGTGGAGAGGGGTCGGAGGGGTGGTGTTCAAGCCCGTAGAAAGAGGTTACCTCGATTCCTTACGCGTACGTACTTTAATACGTATTCTCTCCTTTCTAAAGAGGAACGAAGTATTCGAGTGTTGGTGTCCCGTCATTTTTTTTTTTTCTTTTTTTTTTTTTCTTGTCGAGGATGAGCTTTTTGGCACACTCTTGTGCTCTTTACCAACCACCCCACCTCCACACCCCTCCTTCTCCCCCACCCCATTTCACCTTCTTCTTCTTTTTCTTTCCTAATTTTTTTCTCTCTCTCTCTGTTTCTCTCCTTCTTCTTATTCTTCCTTCTTTCTTTCTTTCTTTTTTTTTTTTGCCATCATCTCCGGAGAACGATCGATCCTTCAAAACCCCCGCCTCCGTCCTCCCCCTGTTCAACCCCTCGAAAACGCTTTTGCTCAGTCGGTGGTTCATGCCACATCACCTACATTATCGCCAAATGACCCCGTTGAGACGAGCCGATCAACGTGAAAGTGTGTATCGTACTTCAGATAAAACCAACCAAGTTTGGAAAGAGAAAGAGAGAGAGAGAGTGATAGAAAAATAAATACTTGAATATAAAAGACAAAACAAAAAGAGAAGGTAAAAAAAGGTAAAAAAAAAGAAAAGATAAATCACTTTAGTTGAATGCAAATTTGATTGCGTGTTATATATATATAATATATTATATGATACATTTATATATATGATTTTTTCTTAATCATTATTATTTTAATTACTATTACTATTTGTATTACTGGTGATCATTTTATAATATATATATATATATATGTATATATGTACTACCTATGTAAAAAATGAAACGAAAAAATAGATTCGTATATAAATAACAATGAATAGTATTCGTAACGCGTAACTTATTCCACTGACATTGGTTGAAATAGTATTAGTAAAAGTTCACCACGAAATCTCTCGTATATTTTTGTATGCGCGACGAATAGAAAAACTCCGAAAATTTGTGTTTTATAACGTAGAGACTCGGCCTTTGTGGGAACGTTTTTGCAAGCCAACGCGCGCGAGAGAGTCTCTCGAAAGTGTATGGGTATGTGTATGTGTGTGTATGTGTGTATAACAAAGAGTGAAAGAAAGGAAAAGAAAAGTAAAAATATTGCTGGAGCAAGCACGTTATCGACCCCGCTTCAAATCTCTCACGAATATATTTCACACACAATGTAATAAATATTGTTAATAGAATTTTTGTCTCTATAATTTTAATAATTACATTTTCTACCTATCTTCATTTTTATTATTATTTTTTTATTTATAAATAATAATATTTGCAATATATATATGTGTGTAATTATATCTGTAATTTATTAATATTATATTTATATTTATTGCATAATTCGTTTTAACTTCCTATGACCTTATTTTTGGTGAGATGCACCTACCCCCCACCAGGTGTACTATACCAATTGTACTATATTTTTTTAATGCAACTCAATTTTTGTTTTTTCAATCAATCTCGAACCGTTTTATTATTCTACCATAAACCAAGCTCATCGAAATTGTCAATACTTCACGAGATATTTGACGTTTCATATATCGAAAATGTACATTCATTTACAACAAGTGTTCGAACGTACTCCACATTGTACTTTAAATATTTTCTAATGCATCTTTCGTCACGTCTATCAATATTTTTCTTCTTTTATTTCTACTTAAAAAAAAAAGAAACAAGAAAGAAAACAAAGAACATTAATCTGTGTCAATTCTGAAAATCCACCCTGTATATACCGTTATTTAATTATAGTGTGATATAGAGTTCATTAACTATGAAACGTCCGATTACTCCGAATACTTTCAGTACGAAATCGAACATTTCATATTTAATAGCCTAACATATACGTAATATAGTACTAATATAGGATGCTACTAGGTAGAATATAGCACAGAC